AAAAAAAAAAAAAAAAAAAAAAAAAAAAAAACCCTCATATTAAGACTACGATTAGATCAATTCTTGTTGGAGTTTATGTATTTGGTGCAGTTCAGTATTAATTTCTAGTGCATGGGAGCTGAATTTGAATTGTGGTTATTATTATTATTATTATTATTATTATTATTATTATTATTGCTAGACATGTTAATTAAGGCGTTTAGACATCCTTAATATTCGGTGTGATATTATTTTTGATGCAATTGGATAGTGATTATTTAATTTAAATACATATTTGCCTGGTTCTCACATATTTCATTTACTTGGCTGAATTTTTTTTATATACCCACAATTGTATAATATTCAAAACTGTTTCTGTAAACATTATTTATGAGATGATCTGATTTTAGTGAGACATAGACCTAATAACCAAAGACTGGTTATTTTGTCAGTCTGGTCTGAAATTTTTTGTTGTATAATCAAAGGAAAATTGCCAATTCACTTGCTTAGGGTTTTTTGAAAGAATACTATTCATAAACTTCCAATGCTAACAATATTTAAGGTCTTTTTGCCAATCGATGCAATATATAACTACATCAATGGTCAATAGCTAGGTGACCCAAAAGCTTTAGTATTATAACTTTAACATTCCCAATTTTTAGGTGTACTTGAGACTGATTGTTCAGGTGACCTATATAATTATTATAACTAATCATGATGGAATTGTCTCCTTTGTTCAATGGCTTGAAGTTGTGTTACAATAGTTCTGTTTTCAAGTTATCCAAAGCAAGAAGCATCTATTGCCTGACAGGGACATTTGGTAGGCAGGACACTTGCATAATATTTGAGTGCCTTTTTAGCCCAACCTCACACTCTTATTGTTCTCACAATACCAACCACACCTTCCTTCCCCTTCACACTGAAAAATAAATACACATTGTCCCCATAGCCTGACAAATGACTATAATGCTAGTGTAGTGAAATTGTCTGTTCAGCAACTGGCAATACAAAATTACAATATACCCAAGTGGAAAAGTAACCCTTACACATGAATAATTCAGAACCTCAGATGGCAATAAAGCATTTAATATGTGGTTTATTGAAGGGGTTAAAAGGAAAATTCTACATTTTCTCAGTAAATCTGGCTCATATTTTCCCTTCAACCGTGCATTTAATTTCAAAATCTTTTAACCAAAAATATGGGACATTTGTAAGTAGCATGTCTGCTTGAGATGATTAAAAAACACTTATTTGAAAATATTTCTTTATTTGAAAACATGTAAGCAACTGAGAGCTTACAAAGATAAATCTGCAGATCATTAACACTTTCAATTTGCCAGTGCAACTCAAATTAATGACTTTGTTTTGAAAACAAGTAAATGCATCATTAACTGAAAAAGAAAACTGAAAAAGAAAATCAAAATTAATTAAATTTAAAAAAAATGAACCAACCTATCACCTAAGCTACTGGATTATGTAAACAGATTGGGTTTTTGCATAGCATGGTCTCCAGGGTTGTCTTAATGAACAGCCAACTGTTCAAACACAAAAACTTTTAAATGCAGAAGTTACCATGTTAAAGTATGAGATTACATGTGAAAACATGACTACTGAACAGCAGTGAACTACAGTGGTATTAACTTATCTCAATGAGTGTTATATATGACCCCCCTCTTAAGATTAAGAACAACAGCATGTTATAAAGACTACCTTTGCTCCAACTCCCTCTTATTAACCCCATTTTGACACATGCGAAATGTCGCATAATAATGCCAGCAACTTAAGCCATTTGCCCAATTTGTGGCATATACAAATTTTTTAACCATAATTTTTCATTTTCAAAAATTACCTGACAATAAAAATATATTTTGGTATATATGTGACTAAAAATTGAGATAACACTGATAAATCTTATCAATATTTTGGAAAATAAGTAATATTTGCACTAAAACTTCTAAATCTTATTTTGCTACTAATTTTGAATGTATTCTACTGCACTATGTAAAAAAAAATATCAAAATAAATAATTTCCTACTGGGAACATTATTTTGTTCTAAATGCCAGGAAAATGAAATTCCTACAGAACAGTGAACGGCTCACAAAAATGCACACTTAAAATTAATCACCATATTTAACATTATTATAACCAACAAGCACAATCCATCTGCATATATTTCAAGGGGCAAAAGCTTAACAACAAAAAAATTACATTTTTGAGAGTAATGTTGCAATTCCATTAGGAATAAAAATGCATATATCAATTTAAGGAATGCCTGTAACAGATCTCTCCAATTATTTAAACAATAAGAGCATGTACATTTTTAAAATAGTTGTTTTTTTTCATATAATATGCACAATTTAATTGTTTGTATGGTAATTACTTCATTAATTCACACTGTGCACAATTTTTCTCAATGTTTTCTAATTTACACTTTACACTTCAGAAGTGCACATCTGTTTCTGAAATGATTAATTCAAAACTACAAAAGAAATAAAATATTAGAAAAAGTGTGCAGTTTGTACATCATAAGTAATTACTCTCTGATAAGTTGCTTCTAATAAAATATTTTTTTTAAAATTAACCACGCAGATATAAACACTGTAGAGAATGTTTCCGTGATATAGGAATGTAAATACGATTACTGGAAATAAGATAATACATGTAGTAAAAAATATTACCAGCAGTTAAACATCTGACAATTAGTTATACCTCTAAATTGTACAAGTAAAATTATGCAATTATTGACATGGTCCATTAATTCACAGTGACACGACTAGAGATATTGGTAACTTGCACATAATGTAAACCAAAAAATCTGGACATTTCATCTATAGATATTTTCACCGACATACATGACAACACCAGTGGACAGCATCCTCAATGATATACTTCCAAATTTGGCATACCCCACAGAGATATATTCATTGCCTTTGCCATCTTGGCAAGACCCTCTGTCTCGATGTGATGATCAAATATAAATGGGGGAAATACAAGACCTTGCTTGTGATGAATAGCTTTTATCAACAGAACACATCCTCCAACCCCATCTATTTGAACTACATCTCCTTCAGATTTTAAATCTGGTAAGAAGAGCCTCTCACTCTGATCATACCCTTCTAGCATGAGATAATCTGGAGATCGAACTTTCTGTAGGGCAAGAGAGGACTTGGTTTCACGCCATGTATTTCTGTCATAGAGATGAACATCGCCTTTCTCATCCATTGACATGCAACTCGGAACCACCACGTCTTTTTTTGCAGCCAAAAGTTTTTGTATCAAGTCACTTGGAAAACTGGTTACATCACTGTCTATCCATAGTGCCCAGTCTTCATCTCTAAGTCCTTCAAATATCAAATTGTTGCGTGACTTAGCCAAGTGGGAGCGTCTTTTTAACTGAATTGATTTCCTGTGGATTTCTGACCAGTCTTGCTTTATATAAAAATTATCACTGAAATGGAAGAACTGGACTCTACGAAACTCGTGTTTCAGTCTATCAACTACAACCTCGACTTTTTTAAGAGTCCCATCTCCACTTGAATCTTCTCCAAACATGACAGAGATCAGACTGTGTGGGTAAGACAAAGACCTAATAAGGTTAGCATAGCGATCTAGCCTACTCTCAGCATTAGCTATTGGAGTAAGTATAGCAATTTTGTCTACGTACTGAGGTGACTGAGGTACAGTGCCCTTCGAACTGCTGGTTTCTTGCACAACCACTGAATTTTCCTTTTGACTTGTATCTTGCTTCTTGACATCAAAGTCACTCAGCAGAATTTTCATCTCCTTTGCAAGCTTATCTAATCTGTTGTTGATATTTGCCGCATCCTTGTTAGTTTTAGAATCACCTGTTTCTGATTCTTGATTTGTGAGCATTTTCTGAGAGACAAATTTTTTATCATCAGCACCAAATACATCTTGTTTATTCCTCACAACAGGGCGACGGCCATGTAACTGTTCTCTTTCCCAGTCATCTATGACAGTCATCATTCCACCATGATCTGGCAGCTTCAAAACTGAAGTCCCATCCCCCTGAGGTACATATTCATTATCTTCTTTTTCTTTATAAAACTGATCTTCTGGTTGCTGAAGTTTTCTTTTTTCCCATATTGGAGGAGCCAATATAATTCTCGTCTCATCTGGATCTTCTTTTGTCCCCGATGAACTTACAAAATAGAGTAAGAGCCAGCAAAACACCAAGGCTAGGGCCAAAAGTAAGGCAAGCTTGCCGTGTCTATGAAGCCTCATCTTACCAGCGTGGTGGATTTTCAAACAATGTGAAGCACGAAGTTCCTTTCCCGCTGAAATAATACAAAGTGAATGTACATATTCGAAACAAATGTTTCATCCGCTGTAAAATTATAAGAGGTGACAGGAATGAGAGGACAACCTTCTTATATCGAAAAAAAACACCGTCAACTTACTGTAACGTTACATGTACTTCACTGCAGTGCAAGCGCAACTCGTTTACTTTTTCTCTACTCCTCTAGAAACACCTTGGCGCCCAACTTAATTTAACAAGAGTATAAGAGGTTAGAAACCATGCCAAATATTACTGCAGTAATTCTTCGTCAGAACTGAAGTGAACTAACAATGGGTTTGGAACTTACAACATAGCTGAAGACGTCAAAACGGCGCTGTCTGCCGCCTCAGCAGCGAACTACCAGCAGAAATGGATTACCAATAGGTGTCTACCCTCTCTTTATTTAATTTCAAGACTGTCCAAAACCAAGGTTTTACTTTCGCGATCGAAAAATATTTATCTTTAGTGGTATTGTAGCCTTTATCTAATAAAAGTTGAATTAGATTCATCACCACCCAGATTATGATGTAATCAAGATACTGGTAAATTTAATGTAGTTTGCTTCAATTTTTAGCCAATAGTCGGCCCTTCCTTTCGAGTGCCCTTGAAGGCGGCCATTTTAAATGATATAAACTATGGCTTTTGAATGAAAACAGATTATATATCCTTATTATCAAATGTAGAGCAGGTAATTGTCTTTTAAAAGTTTTCAGTGAGTTTCAGTTATTACCAGTTGTGTATATTTGGATAACTTGCATTTAAGTTGATTTGACTGCAAGCTATTTAGTTTGTCGTCTTTGGAACCTTGACCGTCTGCCACCAACTTGACCAAGACTGCTTTAATTCAAAACAGCCTCATCTTACCTTCGTCTGTAAGATATAATTTTTCTGATACTTTTGAATACATATCTAGCACTATACAAGTATACTTTGTCATACAGGTCTCTTATGTGTATCAGGAAACCAACGTTTAAAAACCAAAGTTTTGATAATAGAATCTTTCTAATTTAATTCTAGAATGGCTGGTGAACTGATTATAGAGGATCTGAAGAATGGCCAGATTCACAGCCTAGGGTTACTATTAAAGGTAAGTACAATTCACTTTAAATGCTGTTGTTTACTGTAATTAAGTGAAATCCAAGGAAAGCATAGATAATTGATAAAAAAAAACTCATAAACTAATTGTTTTTATTTATAAGAGACTTAACATGTTTTGTTAATTCTCATACATAAATGTCTAAGATCTGATACAAGTAAAATGCATATAGAGTCTTAAAGAAAGTGTTTCATTATATTTTTCTAGGATTATCTTGGCCCTCTCTTGGAAAACCCAGATGTGTTTTCAGCTACAGAAAAGTCCCATTATGGCATGTTTTGTGTTCGTTTTCTACATGCCAGTGTGGTCACACTGGATGCAGTGGAAGCCAGTGTTGTGGATGAACTGTGGTCTTCTATTGAAACCTGTTTACAGTGTATCCATCAAACATGGGAACATTTAAATTTTAAAGAGCCACTGACAGTACAGAAAGTGGTCTATCACATTTTAACTAGAGGATCAAAGAAGGTAATTATTTTTAGCAAGTATCAAACCACATGACTTTGAGTAGTATGTCATTAACATTTAGAACTGTCCTTAGTTTCAATTTTTTTAATAAGTAAAAGTGAAATATGTCTTTGAAATATGGAATATGTGTCAGATAGTAGATTTTCTCGCTTTAATTCACAGGGTTCTCTTCGGTTTGTATTGGAACTTGCCCAGCATCTCTTCAAACTGCTGCAAAGAACAATATTGGATAGCAGCGAGAGCCAGACATTTCTTTCCATTGTTAAAAACTGTTATGCAACCTTATGGAATTATGCCATGCAGGGAGAGAATGGATCAAATTCGTTAGAGATGCTGATGATAAGACAACTTGCATTGCAGTTTTACACATTACAAAACAGAGATCCTCATGAGCTGGTGGAAAAAGTCAAGGTTGTTTTAACAAGATGTGTGATAGGAAGAAAAATGCTACATGATCAGCTAATTGATTGCTGCATGAGGTTTCGCAAATCTGTGACAGATGTGCTTGGGGAAATGATAGCAGAGAGTCAGCAAAATTCTGATCAGGTGCTGGAGTGTCAAAAAGCATTCTTGTTGACTGAGGTTTATTTCATACAGTTTTTAATGAAGTGCAAAGCTACAGATAAGGCAACACTGCTAATCAAGGAGGTTAAAAATCAAAATGCAGAGGGCTGTTCATCTAGACCCAAGGATAGTGCTAATTTTGTTTCAGAAGTATGTGTGTGTGTATGTAAAGTAGCTGTGCTTGTGAAAGAAATCCCGCTGATGAAATGTGAGGGGTTACAAAAAATCTGGAACAATTTAAACCGGGATCTAAAAGAAACGACCAGTGTGCTTAGGGAACAGAAAAATACCACAAGTACTGAAAGCACAATCCTTGAATCATGCTCTCTTCTGAAAGCTGAATTAGATGTCCTAGTGAAGTCAAAGTGTTTTCAAGAAGTTACCTCAGAGGTCATAGACAGTATAGCACAGTTTATGGAAACCTACATTACATTGCTAAGGTATTGTATGAAAATTAGTTTATGGTATTTTGAAGGTAGGATGTAAGATCTTGACTGCCATTTGGATTTAATCTGTCATTATGATTATAACAGATTCTTGTTGTATATTGTTTGTCCCTCTTCAGAAAATGAGGCTGAAAAGTTGAGAAATGTTTTGAAATAGATTTTCTTTAGTTAAATTTCCTGTCAAAACATTAATGTGTTATGATTATGTAGAAATCATTTCTTCTTTTTCTTGTATACCTTGTACTTTATTTTTTTAGAGAAAACTGTCTAAAGCAAGACTTGGGCAAGAAATCTAGCCAGATATTAAAAGGCAAAGAAATTGAGGCTCGGACACTACAACTGACTGTTCTTTTGGAACAACTTGTCAGGACACAAAGTAAGAAAAAAGGAAGTAATTCCTGTTGCCATATTTCAGTTGATGAGTTTATTTACATCCTAAATGCCATTCACTTGCTTGTAATTATGCACACTTTGAATGATATTGTCACTTTGTTAACTTTCATGCTTATCCACCTTTGTATAGGCTCACCACTTGCTCAAGGGGAATCTAAGGGAGATCTCACAAAAGATGCTAACAGGAGTAATGTGAAAAAGCAGTGTTTTCATGCAGTTAAGGGTTTGGAAATGTGCTACACTTTAATAGAGAAGACAAGAAAATGCAGCATGACAGGACAAGAGCATTACTTTTTAGGTGTGTTAACTCAGTTTTATAGTATACTTTGAGGCAGCAAAAGTAACACAGTTGCAAAAAATTGTCCAAGAACCACAAGCAGATTAAACACTAAAGACTGTTTGTTGTGAAGTGCTTATTCAGTTTGTATGACATGTTTGTTACATGCCTGCTTTCATAATGCATTGTTATTTTTTTTAATTAGGCTTCCATGCGTACAAATTTGCTGGTCATTTTTTTATGAATGCCGAGTACTCCCATGCCGTGGACTTCTATCAGTTTGCCTGTGAGCACTTTGCAGCATGGAGCAAGTCTGATTCTGACAGTCAAAAGGTGTCTGAGGTAGAGTATCTTTACTCAACGCTCAAAATGTAAAGATGATAACTTATTGAATTTTGTTTTTTATTGTATTATTTATTTTGTAAATTAATAACAGGCTTTTAAAGCAGATTTAATTTCATTATTTAACATTTAAGATTAACTGACGCCATGAATTTTAATTTTACTGAAATGCAAGGCAATATGCAAATTGGCTCTATCAGTGGTCCATAATAGTTAAAATTTAAATCTTGACATGTATTTGCAGTTTCAGCTGTACAGGCGTTTTGAGTATCTGGCAGAGAGTTTGCGTAGGTGCGGCAGGTATAAGGAAGCTATGGAGGCTGTTGTTCAGGGCGTTCTGTTGGATCAGGGTCCATGTAACCACAAATCTGCAGCAGAAATATGGGTGAAGATTAAGAGGGATATTTCTAAGGCGGAAACTAGTGAACAGTTGAAACCAGGGTCAGTGCTAGATGCATATGTTTTTACTTAAGTCAGCAAACACTTTTATGTTTTCTTTCTCATTTATCATGAAAGTTTTTAGCACGGAGTCAATACCTTTTGTAAAATGGTGTAATTTCTGGTGTTTTATGTCTCAATGCCTTTTCCTAAATTTGTAGATTGCTGCTGGATGCTATTGAAGAAAATGGAGGAGACCTTCAGGAAGGAGACAAAGTTGATTTTCTCGAAAGTGAACTGAAAGCTCACAGAAACATTAAGTGAGTTATATTTTCTCTCATCTTGCTTTTTATGAAATTTTATTAAAGGGATAATAACTCTTCGTATTAGATCTATATTTCACAATAAAAACATTGTGAACAACTCATAGAAATATAATATATTGAATTCTGTTGTACCACAAAAACGGCAGTAATAGCTATTATTCTGATATCTGAGCTTGTCTTTAATATAGATAATTTAAAGATATTTTGTGGCACATGGTAACAGGTGTTCGTTGAGATTTGTGAAATATTACATATAGATATATTAAGTCATAATTCTGCAAAAACCATTTTCTTACCAGAAAGTAATACTGAAGTTTTAAAGCTAATTTTTTACCTTACTTGCAGTTAAATTACATTTTCTTTTGACTTGGCTAGGACTTTGAAACTGGAAGACCAGGCAGAAATAATACAGAAATTGATTGACACCTCCTCTAGTCCTGTGGTGCAAGCTGAGGCTTTGATTGACAGTGCAGTGCTCTTACTGGCTAAAGAAGACTGGAAGTATGTATCTTATGGTGCTACCTGTTTACCTATTGTGGTAGAAAAGGAAATATTTAGGGTGTTGATTTATAAAAAAAACATTCAGTTTCTGTTTATGTCATTTCACTGTTGCTTTTTTTTTCTTTCTTGCCCTGAGCATGTCTTGAGAGTCAAGTATTGCTTTTTTAAAACTATTTATTGCCAATGCATCTTAAAGCAATAAACAATCTATTGTTTTATCAAAGGCAATATTTTATTGAATATTATTTTAATTCATCTTTGTCTTTCTTGAAATTCATATGTTGCCAATATATCAAAATAGGGGATTGCCAGTAGATTTATGTCAATATTTTTCTTCCCAAAAAACTAGGTCTCCAGTGGAAAACTGTAAGAAGGCAATTGCTCTGCTTGAGAAAGAACTGCAAAGAAATGCCCAAAAATATACAGCGTCAATATTGAAGGATGTGTTGGCAAGAGCATTTTTCTGGCTATATGTATGTGAGGCAGAAAGCATAACAACTGAGTCACAGGTATATACTATTCAATCATATACAGATGTTACACTTACATTAACATAGCAGCTAGATTATTTGGAAATACCCATATGATTTTCACTTTATATACCACCCTTATGTTTCTGTCTGTCAAGAAAATTTTCATGTGAGATTAAAAGATACAAATGATGCTTTATATTGTAAAAAATCAATTTTTAGATTAAGTTTTTAAAAAAATTTAATTAATGAATTTATAATTTCAGTCTAATCTGGGAGCACCTGATGAGGCAGTGGAACGTGCTGGTTCTCCAACACCTGAAGAAGAAAATTGTGTATTGAATGGTCCAGTGTTTACACTGCATATGGAGAACCAAGCCATTGCCAACCTGGATAAAGCACTTGACCTGTGGTCTGCTATACTACCAGATGGTTGCAGAGCAGATTGTGTGAGGGACTGTGTTGTAACTTCTGAGGGCCTGCTCCAGGTGGCACAGTTATACAAGATGGCTGGGAAAGTATGTTACATAATGTCATTGGATTTTTGTTTTTATTGATAGGTTAAGTCAGATGCATCTAGTTTCAATATGAGATTCAGTATGTTGTGATTAAGTGACAAACAAAGTAGTCTGAAATCCTGTCCCCTTCACAAACCTCGTCTTCATCTTTCAGCAGAAGAGGATTCAGTGAAGTACTTGCTATTTTGCACGACATGAAATTCTTCCTCTTACTTTTCTAGAAGTATGTATTCTGCTTGTGGTTCCTCAGGTTTTATTTCTTAATCTTTTCAGCCTGTGCAAGCACTGAGAGCTCTCTCAGCAGCCATCCACTTGGGTGATCACATCAGTTTTGCCTTGCGTGTGTCTTTGCACACCTTGCAGATCCAGTTGCTGTGCAGTCTAAACCAGCCTCAGTCAGCAAAGGCACTGATGGACCAGGTGGATGGCTGGTTAGAGAAATGGAAGCCTGATAGGTCCAGTGAGGAGTATGTTGTGTGGAAATACAGGGTAGCTGTGGCAGAAGTCATGGTGCTCTCACAAAAGGTTCGTTAACTGAATAAGATATTGAATTTCTGCTTTTTCTCTCAATGAAAATCTAGGGGATTTTGTAGTTTAAATATCCTTTTAAATGTAAGAGAAATGGCAGCGAAAAAGTCTTTTTTGCGTCTTGAAGACATGAATTAGTTTGATTAGATCGCAATTTTATCAAGGATATCCTTGAAAACTTGAAATAAAAGATTGTGTAACAACATTACCCTTCTATGCATTTTTTATGTGTTTTTTGCCCATTTGATATATTTACACATCCTCTCTTCAAAAAATTTTTAGTCTGGTTCAGTTTTTCATGTGTCAGACTGTCTGATTCTTGGTATACAGTTCAGTGAAGCTCAAGAGATATTTGAGATGGTCCAGCAACAAAGCTCAGTGTCAGCCCGTACAAGGGATTGGTGTATAGTGGAAGGCACCATGAAGAGATGCCTGGCCAAGATGTTGACCTTGCCCCAGTACCATGCTGCAGTAGAGGAGTGTGAGGATTATGCACTGGACAGAATGCATGAGGCTTGTTCACTCCTAACTGGGGTATGGAAATTCTTACAGGGAAAAGCTTCGGAGAGTGGTAAGTAGTTTCATGTTTTACTTTACATTTATTTATGATCCAGAATTATATTTATATGTATGTATATAATTTTTAATAGAAATGTTAGATTTTGTGTTTTTTTCTGAGAAATTTGTGTGAATTGATTAATAAATTGATATAAATCATGCTGTTGCTTGATAAAAATAAATAAGAACTTTTTTTTTTTGAAAATAATCGGAGTAAATGACCTTTTCCTATATGAAATATTTTATGAGATTTATTGTTGATTTTTCCAGCCTCACTAATGGACAAGTGGTCCATCATGACAGAGTACCTGGACACACTGCAAGCCACTGGACACATGTACCTGGATATTGGGGAGAGCAGAGCAGCCAAGTGTTACCTCAAAGAGGGGATGATACTGGCACAGGAGTTTAACATGCCTAGAAGGTAAGCTGGAGTTTGTATGTGATAAATACCTGGAACAGCTATATGAAGGCATGCACTGTAGTAATTTAATCTGAAGCCATGGTATTCCAGTATCACAATGTTTGTAACAATAAAAAATGTCTGAGTTATGATAATTTATATTCCTAAAAAGCTGGTATTAAGTTGGCAAGGAATATTGAATATTTTATGAAGGCTACATTATTTTGGCTTTAAGCTGTTTAAGTTGTACCATTGAATGACATGATTTTTTTCACATTTTAGACTGTCAGGGTTCCTCCTGTCCTTGGCCAAGCTGGATACATTGTCAGAAAAATTCACTGATGCAGAAGCCAAGTTGAACATGGTGCATTTCATTCTGAACTCGGAGGTACACACTGTAAAACCTGAAAAGCAGTCAACAAGAAAGATGGATGTTGAAAATGAGAAGGCAGAGAAGCAGCAGAAAAAGAAAGATGATTACTTTGGATTTGACATATCTGACGAAGATGATGATGATAGTGAAAAAGGGTTGGATTTCCTAAAAAGAAAAGTCCTTGAAGATACAATTCCAAGTGATGAAAATGACAGTGGAAATGAGGACCCTTGTGCATCTCCAACACTCCGGAAGCACGAAAGCAAACTTCCTGTGTATTTATCTCACAGCACCAAATGCAGTTGTGTCCTGTGTCATGATTTCATTCTTCACCCCCTGAGCATGGAATACATCCATGGACTAGCCTGTTTGTCCATGGAAATGTTTGCTGTGTCAGAATGTGCCACACTTGTCAAGACGGGGCTACAGTTTTACAACACTGCCTTCCACAAGTCCACCCAGGTCCTGATGTCAAAGAGTTGTGATAACTTATACAAAGGAAAAAAAGAAATAGACAAACTTGTGGAATCACTATTTTTACCATGGAGTGTGCAGTTTGATATTCAAGTAGCAGATACCAAGATTGAAACCAACCTCCAGTGGGGCCCTGCTGGAAGGGCATTAGCTAGGGCTGCTTCTCATCTCAACTGTAGTACTGCGACAGGCTTGGTAAACCTCTGGAAAGAGAGGGCATTTGTGTTTTATTTACAGGCACTTGTTGGTTTAAAAGGAATGGCAGAACCAAATGACTACAACAACATTGTGTCTAACCTGAATGATGAATTTCAGAAGGTTGAAATAACAAGTAAGGAGGATTCTACTTTGAACAATATAACTGATATGCTTAATCGCATGGATGTGAAAGATGAAGGAAATTTACCAAGCTTAGATGATACTAACTTGGTTAGCAAAAATGAGAAAACAAAAATGAAACCCAAAGTGGACAGTGACAAGGCCTCAGCAGAGAATGTTCCCATAGAAGTTCCAACAGATAAGATCACAAAACCATCAGCTCGAAGAAAAGGGAGAAAAACCTCTGCTGAAACCAGTGATTCAACTCAAGAAACATCAACCAACAACAGACGAAGAAGGAAAACAGATGAGAATGGGGACATTGTTTTGTTCAAGAGTCCACCCCAGAAAACCAAGCGAGAAAAAACTGGCACTCAAAATGAGGAGGCCACTGATTTCACTTCCAATTTGATGACACCCCTTCCTCTGAAGACCCCAAAAGCCAGCAGCAGAGCAGTGAAAAAGGAAGAGATTTTCACCCCAATGGCAATGAAGACGCCGAAGAGTGTGTCAAGTCGAAGAGCAGCTCTGGACATGCTGATGGCAGATAGTGATAGCGAAGAGGACAAAATCAAATCCACGAAAAATAAAAGGACAGGCACAAGGAAAACCACATCAACAACTGGAAAAGGAAAGAAAGCAGCAGTATCAAATCGCAAGGTGGAAACTGAAACATCAGTGGTATTACCCAGTGGGAAGGATACCAGACTGCTCAATGAACTTGATGCTAAAAGTGTTGTGAATGGTCTCAAAGTCATTGACATGAATAGCCCAAGACCCTCCATCAGTTCTGTCAAAAATGGTAAATACCTGGCTTCAAATCCTTTATTACAATCTCCAGTGCCAGGAGATGTTTACTCCTTTGACAGCCCAATGGCCAATGTAGCCCCTGCAACCACTCTGGCTTGCAAAGCCCCTGCAAGAAAAGGGAAAATCAAGGGAGCTGCATTGACTGCAGAGGAAAAGGGCATGGAAGATATTGAGGTTTGTCCAGCTATTGCTGAGAGGCCCAAACGCCGTGGTCGCCCAGTGCGGATGACTAGGTCCAAGGTGGATATTATAGAACATCAAAGAGAAAATATATCCGAATCTGATGAGGATGTTGCTATACCTTGTAGTGATGCAATAGTTGAGGAGGAAGTAGCTGTAGATGTGGACAACCTTGTACATGACACATTGGATAGTCCAGGTCTGGTACACAAGACTGAAGAAGCTTTCAGTTTAGATGCATCAATAGAGGTTCTAAGGGCTGGGGACACACAACAAGAAAAGAGGACAACTAGAGGGAGGGGAAGGAGAGCAAAAAGTGTATGTATTTATATATTAAATATTGCCCTTTTTTCTATTCTAGAATATTTCTAAATTAAAATAGAATTCATAACAGCGCTGACCCAATTTTGTAATTCACTTCTGTATACCAAAAAAAGAAAAAAATGATACATTTTGTTTAGAAATTTAATGTAATTTTTTGTAGGGCAAGTTGACTAATACTGCCGAGGATGTTGAAGCCCCAAGGACTATCAAAGAAGATGGGAAGAAAAATGTGAAACCAGCAAAAACAATGAAAGTGCAAGTTTTTAAAGATGAACTGAGTGAAGGTGAAGATGACTTTGAAGTTACTTTCACAGGTAAAGGACATAGATTGTTTTATAAGTGAAAATTCCTTATATATTTTCAGTGTAGTTAATCTTCCATTTTTACAACATTCTGATTGTGAAGGGCATCTGTGGCTCTTAGGAACAGAAAAAAAAGGTTTGGCAGAAGTGGGGTTGATCATCATGCAACATTAAAGTGAATCCTTTCTTTCTAACTTTCCAGTTATACACTTAAATGAATTTAACTCCTATAGCCTGATTTCAGAATTCATGATTCAAGAAAATGTCATACATGAGTTATATTTTCGTCCACCACTTATTTTGGTCTCACCAATGTCTCATTTCAGATCCCGAAGAATGCATTGCTTTGCTGAACAAGGCCTATAATCTTATAAGACAGTTTCCTCCTATGCTTCTGTACCGTAAAGTGTGTCATATGCTGGGGCTTTTGCTGGTGGAGAGAGATCCTACTGCTGCAGCATTCTACATGTCAGAGGCAGTGGCTGTCACATTCAGACATTCCTTGTTAGCCAGCTGCAACAAGAAGATTAAGTAAGTTGGAAAGTAGAAATTACTTGTATTTTTATTGAAGGCTCAAAGTGGTAGGTGGACTTTATTTTCAAATGAGTGTAATGCACTTTTCACTATAAAAAAGTTTATTTATGTTCATATGGTGAATTAGTGATGTTTTATGAATACTGATATGATGGAACCTTGTATCTTTACAGAAAGCTTGCCAAGGAGCCAGCAGCGTACAACAATCCAGTGCAATATCAAGAAGAATTACAAAAGATGCAGAAGAATTTTAGTTTTCAGCAGTCACCTGAGAGCATTCAGGCATTTTGTCACAGTTTGCCAAAGGGTAAGACACTAATTATAGCAGCTAAATATACCCCTGTTTTCCTCAATAAAGAACAATGTTGATTTTCAGACTTTTGTCAAACCAGTGCTCTCAATCTCACCATACATTAAGATATGGTCCTTGTATTAGTTAAGGTGCTTACTAGTGCATAATCTTTTTTATATTATGTGTGTATATAGTAAATGTACACACACTGTGTTTTCTTACATATACAAGTGTATATTTTCCTCTCCCCAGAGTGGACAGTTTGCCAGTTGTCTGGGTTTATCTATGAAGGAGGGAATAGCAAACTAGTTATCACCAGATACAGATCACAACAAGAGCCCTTCATTGTCAAAGTCCCGGGGTTCATGTTTGCAGTAAGTGTTGTTAAAGATATATATGTAGTGTTGCACTGTGGATAAGGCTAATTGTCTACTGCTATACATGTACATATTTGTTTCAGAGTGATGGTGAATCTCTCTTGCTTAAATGGTTGAGATGGTTATGAAACATCCGTATTTTAATATTAAATATTAAAATATTTTAAATCAATGAAAGTGCACATCTGCTGATAAATATGGATTATCTCTACCTTCCAGTATGGAGAAATGCACAAAGAATTTGCCACTATCATGACGGCATGTAAAGAAAGCATGAATCTGACAGAGAAAGTAGCTTGGTGGACCACACGAAGGGAATTAGATGAGAGACTTAAGGTAATGCCTGTCTTCTCTTCTAAACAATTTTTTTTTTTCATTTTTTGTCTCTTTAGGAGGAAAAAGCTCAGACAGAAGACACTAAATTCTGATTGAAGGGATGTTAGAAATGTTCAAAATACTTGATGTTAAAAATCCAAATTATGAAAGTTCACATGTATTCATAATGTGAGATTATATCTGCCTGCAGGATATGATGAGCTACATCGAGAACAAGTGCCTTAGAGAATGGAGAGGGGTGCTTTTGGGACGACACTGCAATGATGACGATGCTGAAAGCCTAAACAAAGCAGCCTCTGCTGTTCTCAAAACAATCAAAATCTCTAAAGTCAGTAAACCTCAACTGAAGCAAGCTATTGAGGTATGTTGGTCTTGCGAATAATAGGTGAAATTGTATAACAAATATTCAAATTGCTGCATATTTCTTCTTCTTCTTTTTTTTTTTTTAATTTATTTATTTTTTTTTTTATTTTTTATTTTTTTTTTTTTTTTTGTCTGATACCAGTTTTGTATTAATCCATAAAAGCTCTGTTTGTTCATAAATGGTAAAAATTTGTTTGGATAAAAAAAGTTGAGGGTTACTGTTGTCAGACAAAAAATGAAAAATTGTAGTGGACAACTGATCAAATACATATCCTGTATTATCTTAACAGGTCCTGATTGATTCTTCACACTTGTTGAGTGATGGTGAAATAAAAGAAGCATTAAGCACAGTGTTAGAAAATGGGGATACAGAACATGTGACCAGCTTAATTAGGCGACAAGCTAAACAGTTGAACCTGTGCATAGGAAAGAGACAGCCCATTATACTTATACTTGACAAGGTAATTACCGTTCTCTTATTTTAAAATTTTTGATATAAACCAAAAAGAAAAAAATGTTTGCCATATACTACTTTTGTTATTGTTATTGTTGTTTCAATGATATCCCCACACTCCTTCACAAACAATCTTATTTAGAATAGGAGAAATGAATAAACTGAGCTAAATTGCTGCCCTTTTACCCTCACTTACCATGTGTTATGATCTTATTGCCAGATGCTCCAGCATTTTCCCTTTGAGAGTCTCCCCATGTTAAGATCTCACCCAGTGACTCGCCTTCCGTCCTTGCACTTACTGGGAGCCTTCCTCAGCAGTATTGAGAGCAATAAGGAGTCTATCTTGAATGAGGGGATTGACCCAGAGAAGACCTACTATATTCTCAACCCAGGCAATGATTTACCTCATACCCAAAAGCATTTTGAAGACTGGTTTGAGGGGTAAGTTTCCATTAATGGTTTGTGTGATCTGTTTGTTGCTTGCATCTTCTTACATTTTTAAGTTTGAGTTCTACTTACAGACTGACTTATATATGAATATTTTGAAGTGCGATTCCATAAGCCAACTTTGACCAAGAATATTTTAAACATTATCTTTGTTTTTTGACTCTGTGTTTTATGACTGATAGAAGAGGGTTAACCTGTGTTACTGCAATAATGAAGATGTTTTACAACGCTCATTTAAAGCTTAGACTTGTATCATTCTCACAGGAGTAGAATAATTTATTTTAAGCATGATGTGCATAATTTTTTTCTGAAATTTTACACCCTTTATTGTATTGGGGCTCATGATGATGTCTCAAGGGTGTGCTGTAGGCCTCTGGCATATGTCTCAATTTCATTACATGAAGTCAAGAAACGATATTTCCTCCCTTGGACAAGCTGTAATTATGTTGTTGATCGTTTTGCACTGACTAAAAAATCCCTGAGACGAAATATATTACCTTTAATATTGGAATTGCGATAGTTTAAGATCTGTTTAATGCTCTGAATTTTATTATTCTCTAAAATTGCAGTTCCATTAAAATATAAGTAAATTCTATTGACTTTTCAATATGTGTGTTCTATTTTTCATTTCTTGTAGTGAAAAGACTTGGAGGGGTGTAGTTGGCAAAACACCAACATCAGACCAATATAGGGAAGCTTTGACCAAACCAGACCTCTTCATGTGAGTCAAAGTATTACCTTTTAAGACAGTTGAATTATCTGAAACACTTATATTAAAACAATAAAAAGAACCCCAAGTAAAAGTTGTTTGGCACCATTACTAGTTTAGAAAAATGCTATTTTAAAATGCTCATGCATATTAAATTAAAGTTTGCCTGTGTTATGATTAAAGGCATATTATTTCGATTATCTCAAATTAATATTAAATACGTTTATGTATCTCCCTTCAGCTATTGTGGTCATGGGACAGGAAGTAAATATCTCCATGGCGACAATATACAAAACCTCCAGTGCCGTCCTGCAGTGCTGCTGATGGGGTGCAGTAGTGGTAGACTGAACAACATAGGGGCACTGGACCCAGCTGGGATGATACTCAGTTACTTTATGGCTGGATGGTAAGTGAAAACCTTTTGTGGCATAAAAATATTTTGTATTATCAAGTGGAGTGTTTCCTTTAGAGGGCTCTGTTGTTATTTCTTTTTCTCGATTTTGATATGATCAGTGAAACTGAGGTCTTGAATATTTATCTTAAGACTTATAGTGCAGCTCAATTATCAAAGGAAATACAGACTTACACTTAAAGCTGTAAAATATCTCAAAACAATTGTCAGGATACATATATTGGTTGTGCATGAAATTTCAGGTAAAAAAGGGGATATTTCTTTAAGTTGCATTTCTTTTGCAGTCCATGTATAGTTGCCAACCTGTGGGATGTAACAGATAGAGACATTGACCGTTTCCTGGAAAACCTGCTGAAGGCCTGGTTACCTGGAGAGAGTGATCCCATGCTCTTGGAACACATTGAACAAGCCAGGGACAGTTGTAGGCTGCCACACATCATAGGGGCAGCACCTGTGGTGTATGGACTGCCTGTAGCATTGACTACAAAATAGCAATAATTGTGCCCATCCAACCTCTATATAACCTTAGGATATTGGTGAGGTGCATTGAAATCAGTGTGCAATTTTACTGTGGATAGTCAAAGAAAACAAGAGCCATTGTAGAGGTGATATTCCACTGTGGTTTGCCCAGCAACAATGATAAAAATTGTGTGTGGTACATCAGTCCTATGACAAGGAAGTCTTGGATACTATAGAAAACATAATATTATGCACATTCATAATTGATGATTAAGAGTAGATGTGTTAAATTTTTCAGGTGGAAGAAAAATTAGTTTTTGTTTTTTATTCAGAAAGGATTTCTCAAATTCATTGATAGCTCATTCAATATTAATGATGAAGTGTAGAAATGCTTAATATCTCAGGTGGATAAAAATGAGATTATCAGTCGTTTTTTCTCCATTCAGTAAGAAACTGTCAAATTCAGGGATCAGTGCTGTTTAGGTTTTGAGATACAAAAGAGAGATTAATGTATTGAGCCTATTCACATGCTGGCAGTAATTGGGCAGCTTGTCAAAGATGAACCAAGCATGAATGCAGCTTAGTCTGGAACACTTCTTGTGCCTAGGTTTACATTGGGTTCTGGATTATTTCAAATCTGTTACAACTGGTTATTATTTGCTTATCGTAGCAGTATCTACCAGTCTGACTGATGAGAAGGTTAATGTTATTTTGGAGATTATATTGGGTCACTTTATTAAAATAAGCCCTTGGAATCCTTATTAGGTGGTTTGTTTTTCATTAAACAATAGAAAAGGTGAATTCAAATAAATATCTTGTTAGTGATGTGTTGAAAATACAGCGCCAGTCTTTGTGATTTGTCATGAAATTTGAAAGGGACAGTAATGCCAGTGAATTAAACGATATCTTTTAATATCCTGTAAAAGTTTTTCTTATCAGAATAATTCTGTTACCTTTGGCTAAGTAGCACTTTGCCTCCTCAAGGAACATTTCTTCAGATAGAAAGTAATTTATATGACATGTTGCCCTTTTTGGATCTAATAAATGTTCTTGCAACGACTTCATTCTTGACAAAATATTGAGTGAAACTCCTGCTAAATAATTTTATTAGGTTAAATCAATTTGGCATGTGTCAATAAATGTGTAATTTCTCAAATGTTTCAAAGCAGTCCCTTTATAATAGAAGCATCTTAATTCAGGAATGGGGAATTGGAAATGGTGGGGTTATTTGAATAGTTTAGTAATCTTATGTGAGTAGATTGATGATAATTCAATTTTATCGATATCACATGTTTGTAGAAATTAGAATGTTTGTAATCTTGTTATACGAAAAATTATGTAAGATTTATTTTTAAATGATATCAAATGTTTGTTTTCAGTAGAACCCATAAGACAGCATACCAAATGGGATAGTTGGTGTTACAACCTGGGATAATTTGACGAATAAATACTTGAATTGTTATTGTCTTTTCAAATTTCCGTTCATGCTTCATTTTTCACTAACCGTGGAGTAAATTTGTACCATTAGAATTTCAATCAATTACTTAGCCATAGCAATGATTATGGTTGGAGGCAATTTGCATGAGAGTGAGATTTATGTTATTTTTTTGATTTCAGATTAAAAAAAAAAACTTGATACATACTGGTCATTAAATGAACAAATGTGCAAGATTTTTTCCAGAGTTCAACAAAAACTGACCTTCAGTTGGGGATAAGCTGGGTATGATAGGTGTGCATTTTTTTTTTCGTTTAAAATTTAAAGTGAAATTCACTGTCTGTGGTCCTCATTATACTATAACATTTTATGCCCACGACATATCCAATAGAAATAATTAAAAATTTGAAGTTTGTGTATATCTCAAATTGTCTAGATAAAAATTTGAAAAAGTGAGTTTTTGTTAAACAAACAATAACAAGGAGAAATTAGTTTCAGAAACTAAGACTAATGAATCATCTTGTGGGAATTGCAGCAGAAAGTATTGGGAATAGGGGGACCTGTTCATCTGGAAATATGGTTATTTTGAAAATATGATGAAGTGCCATCTCTGGAGACAGGAGGATGATTAGTGTTTAATGATAACATCTGTTTTTTATGGAGTTTTTTTGTTGACTATTGTGCCAGAGTGCTTTATTTTACCAACTGGAAAAAAATCATTTTGACATGTCTGTGTATTAAAAAGTGCTGCTAGGTGAAGTCATTTATAAAATTAATCCTAACTATAAAAAGTACTGGCTCTTATAAGAGGTTGGATGATTTATATCT